CTATACACATATAAGGAAAATCAATGACCCCCCGGCTGGCCAGTTTTGACCCCAGGGCTTTTATTTAAACGTACTTGGTAGACAACCATTAGAACATGTTTCATGCTAAATATCTTAGCTCTAGCTCTTTGAGTTCTCTAAAAGAAGATTTTTTAAGTTTTTACTATATGCATATAGGGAAAATCAATGACCCCCTGGGGCGGGGCCAATTTTGACCCCAGGGCTTTTATTTGAACAAACTTGGTAGACACTCATTAGAAGATGTTTCATGCTAAATATCTTAGCTCTAGCTCTTTGGGTTTTTTAAAAGAAGATTTTTTAAGTTTTTACTATAAGCATATAGGGAAAATCTATGACCCCCTGGGGCGGGGTCAATTTTACCCCAGGGCTTTTATTTGAACAAACTTGGTAGACATTCACTAGAAGATGTTTCATGCCAAATATCTAAGCTCTAGCTCTTATGGTTCTTTAAAAGAAGATTTTTTAAGTTTTCACTATATGCATATAGGAAAAAATCAATGACCTTCGGGGCGGGGCCAATTTTGACCCCAGGGCTTTAATTTGAACAAACTTGGTAGACATTCACTAGAAGATGTTTCATGCTTAATATCTTAGCTCTAGCTCTTTGGGTTCTTTAAAAGAAGATTTTTTAAGTTTTTACTATATGCATATAGGAAAATCAATGACCCCCAGGGCGGGCCAATTTTGACCCCAGGGCTTTTATTTGAACAAACTTGGTAGACACTCACTAGAAGATTTTCATGCCCAATATCTTTAGCTCTAGCTCTTTGGGTTCTTTAAAAGAAGATTTTTTTAAGTTTTACTATATGCATATAGGGAAAATCAATGACCCCCTGGGCGGGGCCAATTTTGACCCCAGGGTTTTTTTTTGAACAAACTTGGTAGACACTCACTAAGAATATGTTTCATGCCAAATATCTAAGCTCTAGCTCTTATGGTTTTTTAAAAAAAGATATTTAAAGTTTTTTCTTTTGGTTGCCATGGCAACCAGAGTTCTGCATGGAATTAAATTCTTTGAACAATTTTTAAAGGTGACCACCAAAGGAACATTCCTGTGAAAGTTTGGATGAAATTGGCTCAGTGGTTTATTGAGGAGATGTCATTTAAAAGCAAAAAGTTTACGGACAGAGGACGCCGGACGAAAACGATCAACAAAAGCTCCACCCTGTCACTTTTGTGACAGGTGAGCTAAAAATGAACAAAGCTTAATATTTTAAATATGGCCCTACCAAAGTGTCCATTATATAGACACAAGTTAAACATTTACACATCAATATGGAATTTTAAAACGGTGTTCATGATTTGTGGGAACTTTTTAAGTTATCTGTGTGACAAATTTAAGCAAGTGTCCTTGTTTGACAATTTTTACAGTGAACAGCTTTCTCCGTTGGCTTTTGACTGTTAGATTGTTTTTGACCGGGGTCCAAATTCCGGGACGGTGCAGGTCACTTTTGTTGAAACTTTTACTTGGAAAAATACCTGTGTTTGGTTCAAGATCTAGAATGCATTTCAGCATATTTTTTTTCCCTTATACAAGTAATATGGAATAAAGGGTTCATTCACTATCACCAACAGTCCTTCATGAGAGACATTAAAGTATTGTTTGGGTTTATAATGTGGACATTCTTAATTCGTATACAAACATACAGACACATATCAATAGTACAAGTCAGATTAAATTGTTTCGTTAATTTCAAGAACAACACCAACACTTTCTGTTTTCAACAACTGTCATTTAATCATTTATTTTAACAAAACATTACATTTGTAATTTCAATTTACATAGAACAAAATATGGACTGAATAGACCGTAATTCACAGTCATTCATACCTTTACATTCTTCACAAAACATAAAAAAAAATCATTGTTCATAACATGATACCATAATATATACAATAATAATGTAATAATGAACAAAATAAAATCATGATGATGTAGTAAAAGATCATTTGGGGTTGTTCTTTTTAACCCCTAACATGCGGGATCTGAAAGTGATTCAAGTCTTTGCCACCATTTATACAGCTGAGTCTATCTGAATATCAGTACAGCCCTATTTACATTTTCGCTTATTTTTAAAAAAATATTTTGAAGCTCAAATCCCTTTAAGAAATTTGCCTCAGAAATGCTTTAATTTTTTATTGCCTGAAAGCTTTTTATTTTCAATGTCCAGTTATAGTTTCCCAAAAGTTTACTCATGGGCATATTACCAGAACCATTTTTTGCATCTATTGCGTATGGACAATTAGTACAGTTATAGTGATTTAGCATTTTGAATGGAAGTCAAAATACTACTTAGTTTACATTTTGTTACTTCTATGGCAGATAATTTAACATTCTGGGCTACTTTCTTCATGTGAAAAGCATCTAACATGCTCTAAAACCATTTTTTAAATGTTATTAACCTCATGTTTGCGCTTTCAAAAGAATGGGGAAACAAATTTACGTTTCCGAGGCATAATGTGCCTTTAACTTTGAATTGACTGTTCCAAATTCAAAACTGAGCAAATCAATTTCATAAATTCAGCAGGATAAAACAGCATGTACAACAACAGTTCCAACAAAAACATAAACAAATATGCATGAATACATTGCAGATACATGTAGTACAAAATTACTACAGTGCAAAAATAAGAATTATAACGAATAAATTTTACATTCCCAGATCCCCCAGACTATAACAAAAAATATTTGTCGCTTAAAAACTTAAAGTTTACATAAGTAAAATACTAAGTTCTATTTCTATCAATTGAATTACCAGTACTTTAAATTAACAAAATACTCAACAGTAAGTGTAAAAGTATTTTCCACTATAAAATACAAGGGCTGTCACTGAATATCGCAATATTGATATATCATTGATATTCATCCTCCAATACAATATTGATACACACTTTTAAATATCGATACTAGCTACAAATTTTTTATATTTTTACTGAATGTACCTCTCTATTTGGCCTAATAAAGAGAAGTTATTTTTTTTTCAGTTTTCTTGGCTAACTTCAACTTTAAAATCTGTTTTCAACAGTTCAGTGACATAAATAACAGGAAAAAAACTTTGGTTAGTTTATAGTATAATAAATTATTTGTAATGTCTATTGTAAATACAAGCATACATAACACAATGATCCCAATTTATAACACATACATAAATGTTTTTCATTGTATCTACTGTCAAAATTGATATAACGAGTCGTTAAACAATATCTTGTCGATGTTTGTCTCTCGATACAAAATTTTCCATCAATGACAGCCCTACAATATACTAGGTAACAGTACCTTCCATTAACAAAATACCAGATACATGAACTTTTCACAAGCAAAATATAAAGTACATGTACTTTCCATAGAACAATACCATGTGCATGTACTCTTCCTTTAACAAAATACTTAAAACATTAACTTTTTCATTGATAAAATTACAAGGTACATATACTTTCATGGATAAAAATTAGATACATATACTGACCATTAAAAAAATACCCAGTGCTGGTCATTTACAAAAATATTCGATTATATTACCCAGCACTTACATGTACAATTAACAAAACACCCAGTACTCTCAAATAACATTCAATACTGATCATTACAAAATATAACACTCATCACTTGCTAATAATAGTAACTTTCTATTTTATTCTCTCAAGTGATCAGTTATATACAACAAGTTGTGTGGTCTTGTATAAAACATGACGAGATTAAACTGTCAGTGAAAATCATGATACTGACATATGGGTACATGTTATATACAAGTGTAAGAAGGACTTTCATAAATCTTGAGGTCATGTGTGTTTGGGGGGAGGGGGGGGGGGGCAGTGTCTATTCTAGGAGGGGGAATGGGGGATCCACTCATATTTTTGACAATTTCCCCCTATTTTTTCAGGACAGAGGCAGGTGGGAAATTTTACATAGATAAAGAAGGAAAAAGATCAACAAATGTAATAAATTCTCACTTTTCGATAAAAATCCCCCGTTTTTCGAATCCTAGAATAGACACTGGGGTCGCAACATGAACATATCTTCACTCAGAGTTTATTTGAATATTGATACCCCAATAAAATAAAGCAATTATTAAAATAATCAGCAGGTTTCTCATGTTAACATTAAGAACTGCATAAAGTAATGTATTATATTGACACCTTAGTGCAGTAAAAAGTTACCGGTAACTCTAATTACTGCAATAAGATTGACGATTTTTTAATGCCATTTGCTAATACACATTGCTATACTTTTTAAAACCTGTATTCATCCTACAGGTATTAACTGAAATAACAATATGCATACTTCAATCACAAATTAATTTAAATGATTAAGATTTCAGTAAAATATATGTTCTGTTCATACAAAGATTGTTTATAAATGTCCTTTGCATGATTTTTTCCTAACCATTTTTCGTCATCACTGCTATGAACATTATGTAACAACAGCTTAGTTTTATATATATAGAATAAGCCACCTGCTTTTTTTATGTTATGGGTTAATTTTTTAATAAATTTTATGGTAAAAAGTAATGTAATCCAAAAAATTAAGCAGATTTTTTTTCAAAAGTTAAGTGTATTGAAATTATTATGGGAACAGGAAAAATCACCATAATTTGAGATGGTCCCCCATCAAAGGGCCTCTTAAAATATGAATTTTTATTTTGGGGGTTTTGGACTCCAATTTTAAAAATTTATAAATGGGGTTTTTTTTTACTCCTAGTCTTTTTTTTTGTACATTTTTAAATTAAAAAACATTTCCAGTCTTTTAAAGTGGGGAAAAACAAATGAAAACATATCACAATTTAAATATAACAAATTGTTCAATTTTGTTCCAACAAACAGTTTAATTTTTCTTTCAAATTTTACCTTAACCTCTTTTCAATGATTAGAAAAATACTGTAGTAGGTTTAAATAAATTTCCTTTTTTTATCCCAAATGAAATCATAAATCCAAAGATGAAAAATTAGAATGGAACAAAATACATAAAATAAAAGTTGGGGAAAATTGTAAAAAAAATATGTAATGAAATTATGAATGAAGCTTTGATAAGATAATGATTATAGCCTTAAGTAGTAAAGATTGACTTTCACATTGACATATAATTCCGATATATGTATATCCAACTGTTCAAGTTTCAATGAATGTGTTTTAATGCATATATAATTCACTTTTCACTATTAACAGTTTAACTTGCTCAATTCTGAAGCCAAAAGTGATAAGCCTTTGCCATCAGTATATAGCCAGGCGGTTTAAAAATAAAAGCTGGACAAGTCAAATTAAGAATGCAGTCTGCTGGTGGGAACTAGTTTTACACATGTACACTATCTGAATTCTGATCTGCCATCTGCAGGATTTATTTTTTGCTATTTAATCTGCAGTAAGTCTGTCAATATTTAATTTTAAAACATACTTCCAAAAAAATTGACAAATTGATTTTGCCCAAATTGAGAGATGGACAAGTCCGTTAAAAATGAAATAATTAATTAATTAGCACGGGATTAAGAAATCCAGCAGGTAATTAAGTGTTAAACATCTTCTCTTGTATCTGAGCTTGTATCGGCTGTATCCGACGGATTCCTCATCACAGAATGTCTCTGTCTATGCAGCCGATGTAACTCGTCAGCTTTAGTACTTGCATAATGATGATACATCATCTTTACACCTGTCACAACGGAGAGTCGTAAACGTAAATTATATCTGAATGAGTTTTTCTTGTTTTTCAGCGCACGCTTATAGCGTACTTCTAAGTCTTTGATTTTCTGGTCCAATAGCACAATCTGTTGACACGCCTTCTCAAATTTTAACTGAGCATCATTAAGTTTTTCCTGCAAATAACCATTATCCATTAACCCTGATGACCCTGGGGCAGAGGTGCTGGTAGCAGCTGTGCGAGTCTCGCCTGCCATTTTTTACAAGTCTTCATCTGGTTGCTTCATATTAGAGCAGCTTAATTTACACAATCTGTAAAAAGAAGAAAGATCTGGTCATTCATGATGGAAGTTAATGCAAAAGGGAGCTCACAAACATTACGATAATGTGAGTATCTGCAAAAGTGATGGTTTACCGTTTTGAAAATTTTGCCAGAAGTAGAGCAAAATTAATATGGGTATTGTAATAAGATTGCCTGCTCTTCAATGTCGGCGATTTCAGGTTCCCTATCCCATTCAATTTAGAGTACACCAGGAATCATTACCAGTAGGTTACCTGCATTATTGTTTACCAAAGCACGCCAGGAAGCAGTTTTCCTGAAATGGGACTCTTAGTCAGTTAATGCACACTTGTTTGATGAATTAATCATAAAGTACGTAATACTGAATGATTCAATTATTTAGCACATTTAATGATAAATTGCAGTAACATGGGTGCAAGTTAAAAATATCAGAAAAGCTGAAAACCTGGAATTTAGTATTACTTCAAACGGTTTTACATAGAAAAAACCTGAAGTTCAGGCAAATGCCTGAAAACTTGTACCCATGCACTGATGCAGTAAGAAAAAAAAACTTGATACGCATCTTATCCATAAAATTAAGAAAAAATAGAATTAGATGCCACAGCAACATCATCTTTCAAAGAGCTTGCTCTGAGGCTTTGCCTTATTCATATTAACAAGCTTAACAGTAAACTAGCAGGTGCCACCTTTACCAAATCTGGGTCAGCTCAGCCCCCGAGTCAGCTCTGCCCTATTCCAACTCGGCACGGCTCAACTCGGCCCACTTTTCAATTATTAATATTTAGGTTTGTGTTATCACTATTTATTGTAATTATTTACAATACACACAAAGCAAAGTTAATAAGTTATATATATTTTTGTTAGTGGGCCGAGTTGACCCGTGCCGAGTTGGTACAGGGCCGAGTTGACTCTTTTCCATCTTTACCATAGTCCAATATATTAGACGTTACAGGCTTGTTATAGTTTTTGTTGGTCAAGTCTGACGTCTAATAGTTATTGCTCAAAAACGCATAGCATCATAAAAAATTCCAAAAATGTCTATTGTCCTGCCTTGCAAGCTTTATTCAAAAGATTATCATATTAATTTTCTTTCAATTTCATGCTCAATCATACACAAAAACTGTCAAACGATGTACTTATCAATTTAAAATAAAATATAAACATCAATCTATTTTTGTCCATCAGCCATACTGGTTATTGGTTAAGCAAGGTGCTTTACAGATTGATTCCAAATTTTTGAACGGAAAAATATATTCGAACACACTGACCGTGCATGGGCAATTATTTCGTTAAAAAAATAATCAGATTTCGCGCACTTTTATGACCGCACTTTGTTTATCGGCTGTAAAAGGAATTGAAATACATGAGAGGATTTAATCATGATTTTTCGGATACATGTGACAGTTTAATTATTTTGACAAAAGGTATTTATTTTTTAGTTTTGTTCATAAATAGGTAAAAAAATATGTAAATACACGCTGTCTTCATTGTTTTTCGTTCCCCCCGATTTTCTGGCGGAACATGCTATGGGTTTTTGAGCAATTTCGATATGACGTTGCTTTGCCCAGAAGCAAAAATATCTCAAAGCGACGTCATATTTATAGGACTACCTTTACCAGTGCAGAATGAATAGCTTCTTAATCCAGGCAATGTTTTTTCTACTCGTCCTGCATATAATTCTCTTAGGTTATTTTTTACTCCTTACTTATATACATAGTGATCTAATCCAGGAGATTGACAAAAGTTAGTCCAAATAATGGTGAAAAATATTATTTATAAAATTATGAAATTTCATTCACTGACATTTTATATTATCAAGGCTATTTTAAAGTCATCAGGTATTGTATATAATCGACTTACTGTAAAGATGTAGTTTACAGTCCCATGTTAATGATTTTCTATTCACATTTCTTTAAGAGCTGAAACTATGATCACAATAAAAGGCAAATTATAATAATATTTTATCGGCAGGATAATTTTTAAACCGGAAATTAAACTTCGGAATCACTCGGACAATCATGTACCATTCGTATCAATGTCTGTTCGGACCTCGGACCACAATATAAGCCGTCTGAAGCATTTATTTCATTTTATTTTTTGATACCATAAATTTCAGACGAATCGCGTAATGCGTTAAATAAAGATAATTAAGAAATGCGGATTTATTTATACTCAACATCACTAATTCCGCGTCATCACTTATTTCACGGCAATGGCATATTTTTTCATGTGACCAGTGTTAAAATGGTCTGAATTGACATATTTTATTCATATACACCTAAACAACAAAGTTTTTGTGCAAAATATTTTAAATCTCTAGATTTTTACGTTAAACAGAACAAAATTTTACAAATTTCTGGAAGAAGCAAAATATATAGTCCATTAAATTTGTGCGTACGTCTGAAACAATCATCATTTTCTAAATTTATATAATGTTCTTGTTTGTTGAAAAAAATATTGACTCGCAAAGTTAGGATAGTTTGAATGTTTAAAATCACGCAAAATAACGAGAAGTTTTAACTGAAACATAAATAAAATGAAATGTAACACCATTTCCGCGATTTAAATGATGACATACTGTTTTCAAAATGGCCGACATATGGTCTACGTTTAGTTCATTTGACTGAATATATATATATTGTTGTTTCCTTGTGTAATACCTAAATGTTATAGCTTATGGCAATTTTTGTACCATAAGTTTCATTTGTTGTTTTCTTTCTGTTTTCAAAGTGTTAAGTACCGTGAACTAAGAGAAGCACAGTATATATAGTGTAAGTTTGTGTAGGCTCCATAACGATCGAGGCAGGTGGGGGTCTCAGCAAGTTGCACGTTTTAAATGGTAGGTTTTAAAATACATGACAAAAATTGAGAAAAAAACAGAATATCTATCTATCTTCCGTTCCTGTCAAACCGAGGTTGTAGACAACCGACGATTCAAAACCGCTAAGAAGTTATAAAGGCAAATAAAATAAGACGTACGAGTATGCACTCGAGATTCATCCTTTTTTTGTATTTTTTTTTTTTTGCAAACGTCAGGGAATACAAAATCTATAGTGTTATGGAGGTTAATTATTGCTAAAATGATGGTCAGTGCCTCAGTGGTCATTGAGGAAGGAAATCTTGGAGTCTTCTTCCATTACTTATTTGAAACAGCGATCCACTGATCGAAATACTAATTAACCCGATCGATGCTTTTCTTTAAGATCATGTAACACATTTTTTATGGTTTTATATCATTAATATGATGCTCAAATTAAGATTTATCAATTTTATGAGTTCCAAAAAGCATTATTTATAAAGATATTACCGAATTTAACATTGTATTAAATAAAGAGAGGTAATAAAAAATTTATTTTCTATAAAGTCTAAGTCAAATTTTTTCAATAAGAAATGAATGCATATATGTTCAAATATTTGCAGTACATATTTTACATATTCTTCGATGTTTGAAAATTGTTTTATTTGCATAATTATAAACAAATGTACATATATATAATTTCACTTAAGTGTGGTATACAACCTCAATTACACATACACGATCTTTAATGACAGGGCTGGGAATCAAAACTGCGTCGTATCCTACAAAATGTAAACAAACGCCGCCATCTTGGAACGAAAAACGTATATTTTTGTTAAAAACTCTTTTTGTTGGAAATAACGGTAAACCAGATATATGTATTAGTTAACACGCTACAATATTTTCCGCTTCTTTCGGTATATGTTGCTTGCACAACTATTTTGTAAAACAAAAGTTATAGCGAACTTGCAACTCAAAGCGGAGCAGAACTTTTATGAAATTATGTGGATACGACGCAGTTCATATTGCTTTATCTATCGTTTTTTTCCTTCAAATCAATTATATACTCGTTTTCAGAGTTCACCATAAACTTCTCAACATAATTTTGCATCATTTACTAAACTTTCATTAAAAAGAGATGTTTATTTTCCAAGAAAATAATGATTTTTACGAAATGATACGACGCAGTTGAAAATAAAATATGATACGAAGCAGTTGTATTTTCATTGCAGGCTGCACGTTGGTTAAACTATTTAATTTATGTGTTAGGTATGATAATACGACCCTAACGTCCAACAACATTTCTTGTTTACAACTTAAGTCAAAAGCAGAGATCACTCATTGGTTCCATAAAAATGGAAATGGAATACAATTCTATTAAGGCTGCATTTTTCGGTCGCATTTTAGTACCTATCATAAGCATCTACAAATTCAGAAAAGCTGTATCAAATGCAATATACATTGAAACACGTGATCGCACACCATATGACAACGTGTTCCAGTGTTGCCTTATCATGCTTCTAAAATTGTTTATGTGAGTTCGAAATGGGAGTGATTACTATTTTTGATACAAAATTCAATATTCCAGTGTAACCTCTCCTGGACCCTGTATTAATCAGGAAAGAATTCTAATTTTTTTAAAGGTCGATCTCTTGCTATTTGAAGAGAGCTATGCGCAAATTGCATGCCTACCTTTGTTACTTGTAATTAGCAATAATTTCCGTCAATTCCGTTATTACTTTTGTCTTTTACGTGCCGAATTTATTGTATTCATTTTCTTCATAATCGGTGGGAACAGACGAGCTTTATTATTTTAAACTGAACATTAAATTTTTAAAATTATATTTTAAATGGTAAAGCTACAATATAGCTTTGCAAGTAGGTTATGCGTTCCGTTTAGTCATTTTATGTTCAGCGCCGCGGAACTTTACCGATGATTTTGTCGTATTGCATTTCTTTATCGCCGACGAGGAAAAAGCTACGGAATGTATTTTCTATATTTGCACTTAAGTATCATTCTCGAGATCTCCATTAAAAAACTTCAAATTTTCAAAATCGAGTTACATATGATACAACTACAAATTATTTTGTAAAGAAAGTGTCCGTTTTGCAAAGGTATTTTACGCAGTGCACCGATAAATTTGATACAGATATAGGCAGACATGATCTTTTAACAGTATTGAAGAAGTTTTCACAATATTGAACAGAAAATTTAGGTCAGATTTTCGCATCGAATTTTCAACAGACTATAGAGACATTGCATCTTAACATACCTTCATACTAAAGTGTGATTTTTATTTGATAATGAATTGCCTGAAAACTTAAACAAAAGTTTTCAGAAAATGACTTCACAGAGGATTACCGCCTGTTTACATTGAAAATTTATCTGTTAGTCATACCGAAATATGAAATTTAAATGTTATTCTCTTTATAATCTTAAAACTTCACGCCAGAAGTTAATAAAAAAAGCTGCTTATTTGTACAGCTGACGTTAACAAATTTTGTTGAAAAACAAATCAGACAGGTGTCCGACCGAGGCCGAGCTGTTTATGTTTACTGAATTCAAATCACTTGAACTGAACTACTATGCATTCGAAAACCACCAGGGACTTTTTATTCTTTCGTGTGGAAAACATATCAAGCTAGTTTCAAAATGTCGATGGTTCTCTGCAGGTGCAACATTTTGCCTGAAATAATGCACAAAGGAGGTCCTCGCCCCTAGTAAAGCTAATGTGTAGAGTGAAAGTTTGAAAACAAACCACAAAAAGCAATCATTACCCAGAACACGCACTTAGAGCGTAGCTAGCCAAAATGAATTCAAGTTAATAGATTTCTACATTTTTTTTGCGAAAAAAATAGGGATAATATTGAACATACAGGAAAAGTATAAGAAATTATTTCAGATACATGTATTATGATCAATTAGGTAACATGTTCACGTTTAACTGAAAAGTAGCTTCCGCGATGTAAACTTTCAAATAAAATGTTATATTGGACATGACACAATGTATTCTAAATAATCAAAAGCAACAGAACATTGATATACACTGCAAATGATCTGGGGATTTTTTTTATCTAGCGCAAGTAATTATTCCATAAAATAGAAATATATTGCCAAAATAATCCCTGTTGAAAAGACTGCCAAAAATACAACTGCGTCGTATCATATTTTATTTTCAACTGCGTCGTATCATTTCGTAAAAATCAATTATTTTCTTAGGAAATAAACATCTCTTTTAAATGAAATTTTAGTAAATGATGCAAAATTATATTTCGAAGTTTATTGTGAACTCTGAAACAAATATATAATAGATTTGAAGGAAAAAACGATAGATAAAAATATGAACTGCGTCGTATCCATACATTTTCATAAAAATTCTGCCCCGCTTCCAGTTGAAAGTTCGCTATAACTTTTGTTTTACAAAATTGTTGTGCAAACAACATATACCGAACGAAGCGGAAAATAGTGTAGCGTGTTAATACATATATATCTGGTTTTCAGTCATTTCCAACAAAAAAAGTTATAAACAAAAACATACGTTTTTCGTTCCAAGATGGCGGCGTTTGTTTACATTTTGTAGGATACGACGCAGTTTTGATTCCCAGCCCTGATTGTGAAGGCATAGAAAGGGAAAACAATAGATATATACATGTATCATAATATTATTCAGATGCTCGTTCATTGGTTACTTTTTTGTCTTGGGTTTCATATTGTGACAACAGTGAATGTGTTTTTATGCCCCCGAAGGGAGGCTTAATATATTAGCATCGTCTGTCTGTCCGTCCGTCTGTGCGTCCCCACTTCATTCGTGTCCGGACTGTCACTTTGTCATACATTGAGGGATTTTGAAATAACTTGGCACAAATGTCTACCACATCAAGACGATGCGTTGCGTCCAAGAACCACGTCCCTACCTCAGAGGTCAAGGTCACACTTATAGTTTGAAGGAACTCATTATCGCAATTAGAGTAGAATAGGTACACACATTAGTGTCCGGGCTTGAACTTTGTCATGCATCGAAGGTTTTAAAAAAATAACTACGGCATAAATGACTAACCAACATCAAGACGACATGTCGCGACTAAGATCCATCGTCCCCTACCGTTCAAGGTCAAGGTCACACTTATAAGTTTGAAGGAACTCATTCTCTCGAGAAGACACAATTCATGTCCGGACTGTAACTTTGTCATGCATGGAAGGATTTTAAAATAACTTGCAACAAA